TTCTCGAAATAAGATTTTCTTTGAATTTAATTCTTGATTACTTTATAATCAAGGAATTGCCATCCCGATCCATGATCCGGGAAGGACTACACTGGATAGTCTGATAGGAATCGGACCAATTCTAAATCAGCCCGATCTTAGGATCTGATCAGATTGAATTTTCAAAAAATAAAGAGATATATGTAATTTAATTAAAAAATTTCGAAATATGCGTTTCAAAAACAACCAATGAAAATGTGTCGGATGTGTCGTGAAAAATGCGTCGTGGTCTTGCTGGGCAGAATGTGTCGCAACGAGCACCTTATGTCGTAGTTTACGACACATCCGACACATTTTTATTTAGTGTGGTAGAGACCTAAAATCTCTGCTAAAGAAAGTATTCAGCAAGATTTTTTTATGAGTAATATCTCAGCTCTGCAACATGATCGGGTTACGAGATACATGTATGCACAAAATCTAAGAATGACCATTCCATTGTTTACCTGACAGTAATGATCAACTTATTCATATTTGATTCATCTGACCTTATTTTTATACAACAAGTGTATCAACTTGAAATGTATGTATGTTAAATATTTCGATTTAAATGAATGCATTGTTGTTGAGAAATTTATGTAGACATAATCACAAATAGAGGAGCCTTTTGCAATTATTTTCTCAAAACATTCAGATACCTAAAAAATGGAACGATATCTTTTCAAAAATTTTTTACCGTCACGCTTTAAATTAGCTTCCTATACATATATGAAAGTGACCAAAGTCAAACAATTTCGATTGAAAATAAGTTAAGTCTTTAATTATTTATGGGATGAGCTATATACCTATTGGCTCGGTGAAATATTTTGCACAGATCGAACGAACGTTAAACAAGTAGATTTAGATGGCACTGTGCAAACAGAATTGTTATTTTTCTTACATTCAATCCATTTCACTCTATAAAACAACGGGGTCATGGCAAAATTAAATGATAAAAATCATTAAAAACTCTTTGAAATCGAATGAAATTCTTTACCAGCATCCACTCATCGCTGTTGTATTACATCCATCCTATATATTTTGAATTTTTCGACGGAACGAACTCGTATCTTCTGGATTGTGTGGAAAGTCACTGTATCTCGAATAGACGGAGTCCTCATTACCCCATTGTCCTAGCCACATCGATACCCACACCCTTTCTAAGAAAAAAATAAGTATTCTATCGAACCCTTTTAAGTTTCGCATAAGCTACGAAACTATTCAGGTTTGAAATGAAACTGTAAAGGTTTCGCATTAAACCATAAAATATTTATCTGGAACCTAGAAGGTTTCGTCTTTTACACGCCGAACCGTTTTTTAGAGTGTACGTAGACTGCTTTACTTTCTGGTTGCAATTTGTCTGTTGTCAACACCAATTCATTTGATTTTCAATCTATATTTAATATAGAAGAGACCCTACTCAAGGAATTTCCACATTATTGTTGCCAGTGTGTGGTATGATAACCATTTACAGTCCACAAACATTAACAAATGCTGTGCATTTATAATGCTTCTGCTCCTTCTTTCTTCTAGACACCAACAAGCGTAATAAATTATTACTTAGCCTGCTGAAAAATACAAATTATGTTGCATCTAACTATGTCAACATAAAAGCACAGTATCAGTCTTTGCTGCCATAAAAAGAAACTTATGAAATTAGCCTATACTTTAATAATTAGTACCATTACACACATCTAACTTGTGTGTGTGCATTTCAGTTGCCATATTCGACAATACTTCCATTCACGCATGCATACATCAAATCAACCCCTCACACCCATGCACACAATGTCTCCCCAGTCAGACAAGCGTTGAAAATAAAGACTTGCCAAAGTTGATGAAACCTGAATTTTTTCATTCATTGAAAACGCAAATTTTATGAAGGCGTGGGTATTACTGTAAATGGGAGAAAACGTCAGTCTCACGCTTACTTCTGCTATGTGCTCTCAGGATTTTTCACATCATTATTATCGGTGTGTGGTGAAATTACCATTAACGGTCCACAAACAAAAGCAGGCGCTGTGTACTTGAATTGCTTCAGCTTATTTTTACATTGAAAAACGGAACATTTTATACTAGTTTATCTCGCATTTAGTTTATTCAATTACATCTTATCAAACAACGTTAGTACTAGTTTAATAGTAGCCAGATTCTATGCATTCTGGACTTTTGAGGATGACGTCAAATTCTTCCATCGTTCATAACACCTATCTTTATATCACAAGTTAAAATGCAGAGCAAATGAATAATTATTGCTTAAAAATAGAACTATTCAAATGTTATAGCTAACGTAAGAAGTCAAACAAAAAAAATATTGTAGGACGAAAGAATTAGATTGACGACATATAATTATTTAATTTAAAATGGCGACGATTATTAATGAAATTATTCGAATTTTTCCATTTTTCTATCAGTAAACGTGGTCCTTGATGGATGATAATCATTAAATACTGGTGCTTTGTTGACCTCGACTGAAACGTTTTGTATGAACAGAGTAGCTTTCCGTATAGTCTAAAAGATGATCTCAGCTCAATCAACCTCAGCCTTCTTGAAAAATGCTGGTTGAAAGCCTACTATCGGCAGTGGCTGTATTTAGTAAGACTTTTCGTAGACATTCGATGTCAAATCACGAATTCAACCTTTTAAAATGGGTTTTCACCAGAAGACATGAATTTCTTGCCTGTGTAACATAATACTATATAATCTACTGAATCGAAGATGTTCGATGAAATCTTGTCACTCGTGATTTAGATGAGGACCTTCATATAATTGTTTTGCAATGAAGAGTCTATATCTGTAGAAGTGTATTTAGGCTTAACTAGTCAAAATAAAGAACGCGAAATATCAAATATCTAAAAAGGGTCTGAAATCAGTGCTGAACAATTTAGTTTTTATCAAAAGAATTCGAGGATTTAATATTTTTTATTAGACTATGACTTCATCGAAGCTCTCTTTGAAATACATACAGAGGCCACTATTGATTTCAAACTTGCTTGTCTTTTCTCAATTGCTCGTTATATCACTTTCATGTTTCTATAGAACAATCGACTGAAATCGCTCAAGATCCTACTCTTTTCGAAGAAATCAGACAATATCGAGATCAAAATCAACAACTCATGAGAAAATATATGGATCTCGGTGAGAGTATGAAGACAAAAAACATTACAACAGTAAAAAAATTGACTGCTCATGACCAAGAAGGCCTCAAAGCGCTCCAAAGGCTCGCTCAGAAAACACCATCGACAAAAAATATAGGATAACAATATTGCTTTTTTTAGTCGCACATCAACTGGTAAATCGACGATGATCAATGTTAGATAGTTACGTTTACCTAACTCTTTATTCCTTCAAAACCGACTTCAACTAGAATCACTTCAACTACTAACTTCTCTTAGGTCTCTTGACCAATAGAGAGATAACAGAAAGACGAAGAGGTAGTGGTCGCAGATAGCGCCGCTACCTAACACCTCCACCCTTTACAAGTGAACAGCTTCATCTGTTCACGAAACACACCTACCAAACAACAAGTAACGAAATGAGCACACAAACACCGAAAATAACGCGGGGAAAAGACTGAAAGTAACAAAATATGTAGTAATACACCAACAAGAAAAGAAAAATAACGTATAATGAGTTCATAAATGAAAAAAAAATAGGAGATGAGAGAATTAATGTTAATACTTTTTTCTTCTTTTTGGCGTAGATGTATATCTCACGAAGTAAGAGTATGATCGATTTGTAATGAACCAAGGATAATCTAAGATTTTTCATTTTCACTCGAGATATGTAACAGACACGAATGTAAATACGATTGATCGAGAAATTAAAATTAACAGCATTCTTCTGAATCTGACATCTTGCTAATACGTTTGAACAAATAAAATCAGGAAAAACATGTGCACTAACATTAGCATGACTATTATTAACTTGATCATCATTTTGTACTGATTTAATAATAGAGATAGGTTCACTATCAAGCATATAAACAACATTAAACGAACTTGAACTAATTTCATCACTTTGTACTTTTTCTAATTCATCTTCATGTACAAAAGTAATATCAACTACAGCTGTAAATAGAGATGGTGATGATATACTTGTAGTCGTCGAGGATAAAGCATGTGTAATATTATCAACGATTGGATTATCAATTAAATTTTGGTTTACTAATTGATAAGGCGATGAGAGTTCAGACACAATGACAACAATGAGATGTTGATCATCATTTATTACTGGTTCAGGAGTTGTCGATGTTTCAATTTCCGGAGATGGTGGGAAACGTTCATTTGAATTTGATCCATTTGGATCAATAGCTGATGAAAAATTATGATGATTGACAGCGGGTTGTTGTTTAACTTTAAATAATGTTGAATTAAGTGATGGTTGATAAGCTTGAACGATAGCAATCTTAAACGAAGACCAATCAGGAATGTTCGACTTGTTAAAACGAAACCATTTAAGAGGAGCATCACCCAAATAAGATTGAATAGCCAAATATTTATTCGATGATTGTAATTGTACTTGATCAAATATACATTCAGTATCTTGTAGCCAGTGTAGAACATCTTCATCACGAGCACCACCAAATGTAGTAAGTTTCATTATTTGTTCTTGGACGAAAACCTACATGCTTTGTTCGTCCATAATTAATAATAATACTCTTGGTAAGTTGTAATAAGCGCGTTGAAATAATTTATGAGGAGACTGGATTATCACCAATAAACATGTATATTTCAAATAAAGTACGAGGAAACAATAGGATCATAACAAGAACACCGGTAAGAACAATAAGTTGAGGATAACAAACATAAAGATCAACATTAATTTTGATATAACATCAAGAGAAAAACACCGGGTAGGACGAGGAATAGAGAGAGAAAAATGAATTGAGGGAAAAAACTTATCGTGTTCGACGAATTGTGGTCGAAAAATATCACGACGGGTTACGGCACCAATTGTTAGATAGTTACGTTTACCTAACTCTTTATTCCTTCAAAACCGACTTCAACTAGAATCACTTCAACTAATAATTTCTCTTAGGTCTCTTGACCAATAGAGAGATAACAGAAAGACGAAGAGGTAGTGGTCGCAGATAGCGCCACTACCTAACAATCAATCGTCTTGTTGGCGAGGACGTCGCCGCGATGGGCCCAGGTGAAACTACCCTCGAATCCAAAAAATACACTTGCACAGACTTTGCCTTATGGGATATGCCAGGAAGAAACGATGAAGTCTCATATTGCAGTGCGAGATACATTGGCTTCTTCAAAGGACTTTCCCGGTGCACTATCCTCATTATTAGTACTGTGAAAGAAATGAGCCATGCATGCCAAGTTCTTGATAAACTCCGACTTGATTATAACATTGTCGTCGGCAAGGTCGATATGATGGACGCAGCCGAACAAGATCAGTTCAAGAAGCACATTTACGACGAAATTAAGACGCAGGGCTCATTCATGCTCGAAAATATAAGGTATTTTTGCCAGTGCAAAAAGACCTGAACTTTTCTCTGATTGGCTCAATATGGTTACCTATCTGTTGGAGTATTCGCCATCTCAAGTCAATAGCCTAACACGTTTAATCGGAACTTTACATTCAATAATGACGCGAATATAATCGGTGAGAGTGTACGAATACGAATGTGGGCATACGTAGCTTTAGAGACTACACACCTTCAGAGCCAAAATAAGTTTTAAATTTCACAGAAAGCTGCTTTAAAAATACGGTTAAAGTTGGATACTTTCCAAAAATGAAAATGCGTTTGAGTACTCCCCATTCTAGCGCACATCACACCTATGTTGCAGTAGCCAGTACTCAACAACAGATGATTCGGAGAGAGAGGTATTTTATAGATTTCAAGTGATCCTTCATAAAATGCAATTGCTTTTGAGTACTCGCCCATGTTTCTATACACGTCACCCATATAGCCGTGAGATGTAGCCAAATTGAGATGATTCGAAGGGAAAACTATGTTGTAGATTTCAATTGATCGTTCTTACGATGAAGGAGCTTTCGAGTACTCGCCTATGTTATCATACACCAAAACGATGTTATTATAGGAATTTGTCATAAACGGATGGTCCAGAGGGAAAATGTGTTTGTAGATTTCCAGTGATCGTTGATGCATCACAAGTGCATTCGAGTACTTCTGTACACTGTTCCAAGTTGATTAGTATAATCGCCAGTATCTATGTCAGAAGATGATGTGTTGAGTAAGTTCTGATAAAGACGTTCTGCTTTAGAATATTCGCCACACTATTAAGTATATCGCCCAGTCGTGACCATACCTTCGCCCAATCTAACGGGTGGCTCATGAAAAATGGCGGTCTCATTATTTACTCAATATCTTTTTTGCTCTTCATTGATTTGAACTGAACATTTTCCCAAAAGATTCAACATTCAATTCTCTACAAACTCATGTGTAAAAGATTTTTTAAAACTACAAAACGGCTAAGTACTAAAACGCAGAAAAAGGTCGGAAAATCTTCAACTTTCAAGCACTAAATCCTTTGTTTTTAAAAATTTGCTTTCCATGTGAGGATCTACAAAAAAACTCAGTCTACCATGTTAAA